TTGGAAACTTTTCCAAAAGTCATTTGATTTGATTTAAACTCCAAATGACGTGTTTTCTTGCCTTCCAAAGTTATCCACTTTCTTCAGAAACTTATCTAAATTTTATCTCTTATTCTGACATAAATGGTTCGAATAAGAAAAATGTGATTCGAACCAAAATCGTAATTTTTCGGATTTTGGTTTTATGTAAATGATTCGAACCATATAATTATGGTTCGAACCAAAGTTACACTTTCTCAAATGCATTCTGTGCAATTACTTCGAATCAACTTTTTTGTAATTCAAACCCAAATCCTGGAAATATTTTGAAAATTCTTCAACATTCCCCCACCATTTTCAAAATAGAATAGCCCACCAATTGTTTTGGAAATCTTATGCATATATGAAGGTATCTTACAATTTGAACCTTTCACTTAGTGAACATGTGTTGGTAAATTAGTCAAAATTGCATGATAGACTAATGCTTTGAACTAGCGATTCTAAGTGATTAATTGGGCACATGTCACACACAAGACTTCAAGCTTTCCAAAGAAGGAATTCAGCATCCACCGACACAAAAACTAGCCATGTGTCCTATATCCTTTTCATGAGTGCTGTTAGAGTCAAGTCCCCAACTCCTAGAAGCAGCACCACTTCAACTCATATAGGTAGATTCCATCAAAAGTGCCACCGCATTAAGCACTTTAACAGAAATCTATTATAGGACCTATTAAGAGTAAAACTCAACCTCTTCTTTATTTCATACGGTTACCAAGTACTCTTCCACTTGGGATGGTATTATTAATAAATTGAGTACTTGCAGTCACATTCATATGATGTACTTTACTCATTGAACTCAAGACTTGAAGTTTTTATCAAACGTTAAGTCAAGGTTCCATTATGTGTAACTTTTATCAATGGACTTGAGACCCATCCCTATAGATGTTTTATATACTTTTTCTCTTGTTAATCCTTTTGTTAAAGGATCTGCTAAATTTTCACTAGACTTCATTTTCACTAGACTTCACATAGTCTATGGTGATCACCCCATCAACAATTAATTGCCTTACATAACTATGTCTTAGACCAATATGTCTAGACTTTCCATTATATACTTGGCTATAAGCTTTTGCTAATGTAACCTCATTATCACAATGTATTGAGATCAGGGACATTGGCTTTGGCCATAAAGGAATTTCATATAATAAATCTTTCAACCATTCACCTTCTTTACATGCAGAGTTTAAGGCAATAAACTCAACTACCATGGTGGAATCTGTTATGCAAGTTTGCTTCTTGGATCCCCAAGAAACAGCACCCCCACCAAGCATGAAAATCCATCCAGTTGTGGATTTATGATCCTCATGATCCATGATCCAACTAGCATCCGTAAAGCCTTCTAGTACAAAAGGATAACCATTATAGCAAATCCCATAATACATAGTTTTCTTAAGATATTTCAAGACTCTATGTATTCCGTACCAATGTAAAGAACTGGGATTACTTGTGTATCTACTAAGTTTCCCAACAGCATATGCTATATCTGGTCTTGTGCAAATCATTGCATACATCAAGCATCCAATCACTCTTGAATATTCTAATTGTGCAATTGGTTTTCCATCATTAGATGTTAACCATACATTAGGATCAAAAGGTGTAGAAACAATTGCACAATAATAAAAATTAAATTTCTTCAAGACTTTTTCTATATAATGGGACTAAGAAAGGATTAAATTATCACAATCTCTATGAATTTTTATTCCCAAAATCACATCAGCAGCACCCATATCATTCATGGAAAAGTTTCTAGACAAGAACTTTTTGGTTTCTTCAACTTGTTCTATGTTGGTACCAAAGATGAGCATGTCATCTACATATAGGCATATAAGAACACCTTGTCCATTTTTAAACTTGCTATAAACACATTTATCTGCTTCATTTAATTTGAAGCCATTAGCAAGCACCACTTCATCAAATTTTTGATGCCATTTTTTAGGAGCTTGCTTAAGTCCATACAAGGATTTTATAAGTTTCCAAACTTTCTTTTCTTGACCAGGCATCACAAACCCTTCTGGTTGCTCCATGTATACTTCTTCATCTAATTCACCATTTAAAAATGCTATTTTAGCATCCATTTGGTGAATTACCAATTTGTAAATTGATGCCAAAGCAATTAATACTCTTATAGTGGCAATCCTTGCTACCAGAGCATAGGTATCAAAATAATCTATACCATGCTTTTGTGAACAGCCTTTTGCCACTAATCTTGCCTTGAATTTGTCTATTGTGCCATCAACTTTCAGTTTCTTTTTGAAAATCCATTTGCAACCTATAGGTTTGCAACCTGGTGGAAGATCTACTAAAATCCATGTGTTATTCCCCATTATGGAACTCATTTCCTCATCTATGGCTTCCTTCCAAAAAGTTGAATCTTGTGACTTAATTGCTTCTTCAAATGTCACAAGATCAGCTTCTATATTATAACAAAATTTAGTTGCTTTTCTTATCTTTTCTCTTGTTCTTTCAATAAGAAACATGTAAAATTCTGGACCATATGTTCTTGCTTTTCTAGCTCTTTTGCTTCTTCTAACTTGAATGTTTTCTTCCAACTTGTTTTCTTCCAAGTTGTCTTCTATTCTCTGTTCTGAATTTTCAGCAATTGCTTCTTTAGGTCTAGGAATTGAATTAAATCTGCTCTCTTCAAAGATAGCATCTCTTGATTCAATTATGGTATTGACATTAATTGAATCATTTGGTTCAATGACCATAAATCGGTATGCCTTACCATTTTTTGCATACCCCAAAAATATACATTCAATTCCTCTTTCACCTAATTTTTTCCTTTTGGGTTCAGGTACTCTTACAATTGCTCTACAACCCGAAACTCTTAAATAGTTAAGGTTTGGTTTTCTTTTCTTCCAAAGTTCATATGGGATAACTTGGCCATTTTTAGTAGGCACCCTATTCAATATATGGCATGCTGTTAGCAATGCTTCACCCCAAAAACCTGGACTTAAACCAGAAGTTGATAACATGGCATTCACCATTTCAGTTAGAACTCTATTCTTACGTTCTGCCACACCATTTTGTTGTGGTGTGTATGGGGTTGTTATCTCATGGATAATTCCAGTGAATTCAAAGTAAGATGGATCATAATATTCCCCACCTCTATCAGTTCTTAAACATTTGATAAATGTCTCACTTTGCAATTCCACTTCTACTTTATAAACTTTGAATTTTTCCATTGCTTCATCTTTTGTATTTAACAAGTAAACATAACAGAATTTTGAATAATCATCAATAAAAGTAACATAATATTTCTTGCCACCAATAGTAGGAGTGCTATGCATGTCACAAACAACACTATGCACTAGATCAAGCAATTTAGAAACTCTTTCAATCTTAGGAAAATGAATTCTAGTAATCTTAGTAAGCATACATGTCTTGCATTGTGATTCATTTTTAGGCAAGGTAGGAATTAATTCTAATTTAGACATCTCATGCATCTTCTTGAAATTAACATGTCCTAATCTATGATGCCATAAATTAAATGAGTCAAGAATATAAGCAGAAACAACACCCTTATTATTAATATTATAATTAATGTTCATCTTGAACATGCCCTCACAAGCATAACCTTTGCCTACAAAAATCCCAACTTTAGACAGAATAAATTTATCTGCCTCAAATACAAGTTTAAAACCAAATTTGTTCAACAAACTTGCTAAAACTAGATATTTTCTGATATTCGGCACATAATGCACATCAGTGAGAGTGACAACTTTTCCAGAAGTGAACTCAAGGTCCACGGTTCCTTTGCCTTTCATTTGTATTGCTGCAGAATTTCCCACATACAGCACATTTCCTTCAGGTTCTAGTTTTAAAGTCTTGAATAGACTTTTGTCCTTGCAAACATGCTTTGTAGCACCAGAATCTATCCACCAAGTAGTGTCATCTTCCATGAGATGAATTTCAGAAATCACAGCAATGAATTTTTCATGTGATAATGCTGGTGCTTTCCTTTTCTTCTTGAGAAAATAACACTCCCTTTGGAAGTGTCTAGTTTTTCCACAATGGAAACATGCACCCTTTTGCTCCTTAAATTTCTGATTTTGCTTGACAGAATACTCCTTCTTGAAAGGCTTTTTGGGCTTGCTTGAAGTTCCTTCCTCCAATACATGCACATCCGAGATTTGCACTTTCTGCTCCTTTTCATTTTCTGCTCTATATTGCTCTTCAAGTCTCAGAGAGTTAGCAAGATTTTCAAGAGAAATATCTTCCTTTTTGTGTTTTAATGTTCTCTTGAAATCTTTCCATGCATGAGGAAGTTTATCAATTATTGAAGACACAACTATGGATTCATCCATCTTCATATCATATTGCTTCAAACTATTCAGCAACTTTTCAATTTCTCTAAATTGTTCCATGACTGATTTGTTATCAATCATTTTATAATTATTCCATATGGTCACTAGAAACTTCTTACTTGTTGCATCTTCATTCATATATCTTGCTTCTAACTTATCCCACAATTCTTTTGCAGTAAACTCATGAACATAAGTATCAAAAAGGGAATCAGACATACCATTTAAGATGCAGCCCCTGTAGACATAATCATCATTCTCCCACTTTTTCCGTTTCCTTGTATCTTGCAAAGTTTCATTCTCATTTTCCTCTGGTTGAGCATCAGTGAGAACATAAATGATGTTGAGAGTTGTGAGAAGGATGCGCATCTTGCCTTGCCATCAAATAAAGTTGCCCCCATCAAAGCGATCTAACTTCTGGAAATTAGTAGCCATCTCACGCAAAGTTGCAGCCATAATTGCAAAACAGAAAATTAGCCTAAAGATTGTTGAATAAATAGGGTAAAAAATCTACAAATGGCTTCAAGGCGTGTTACAAATGCCACTTTCCTTTAGACTAATTTTGCCTCCACCAAATCTGGTATGCAAAAGGAGTAACTCGAAATGCCCATAAGATACAATGAAGCGCCTGGTTGATTTTGCTTTTGCACTAGCAAGATCAACCACTGAACCGTCCTTTAGAAAGCGACAAAACAATAATTTTTGTACAAGGATTTCTGCAGCAATCGAAGTGCAAAAAGGGGCTGTTTTATTTAGATAATAGTAGGGATTTGTTTCTGGGTTCAAGAGACAAAGAAGAAGAAGAGATAACTTCATATTTATAGGGGTAAGATATCTGTTGTGAACAGACGCTCATTTTCAGTTATTATCAATTTATTAACGAATAATAACTGAGTTATCATAAAATTTATCCACTGGAAACTTTTCCAAAAGTCATTTGATTTGATTTGAACTCCAAATGACGTGTTTCCTTGCCTTCCAAAGTTATCCACTTTCTTCAAAAACTTATCTGAATTTTATCTCTTATTCTGACGTAAATGGTTCGAATAAGAAAAATGTGATTCGACCAAAATCGTAACTTTTTGGATTTTGGTTTTACGTAGATGATTCAAACCATATAATTATGGTTCGAACCAAAGTTACACTTTCTCAAATGCATTCTGTACAATTGCTTTGAATCAACTTTTTGTGATTCGAACTCAAATCCTGGAAATATTTTGAAAATTCTTCAACAAAAACATAACCTCAAGTGCTCTTAGATGCACCCATACAGCCTGCCCAATCACTGGCAGTGTATCCTTGGAGAAAAATTTCCAGATTTGGCATTCCAAATTTCATAATCAAATGTCTCCTTCACATACCTGAAAACCCCTTTTTACAACTGTAAAATGTGTCACAGATGGAGAAATCATAAATCTAGAAAGCATACTAGCTGTAAACTTGACTTTTGGTCCTGTTGAAGTTAAATACAATAGGCTGCCAATCAAACTTCTATACAAAGAGGGATTTGCTTTGGCATCTCCATCATCTTTTGATAAGTTTGCATTCTGAACTAAAGGAGCTACAACTTCTTTGCCTCTGTCCATGCCAAATTTTTTCAAAAAGTACATTGCATACTTCTTCTCAGACAAGAAGATGCCAACAGCACATTTCTAAATTTCCATGCCAAGAATGTAACTCATCAAGCCCAAATCAGGCATGTCGAAACTCATCTGTCATTATTGTGTTAAAATGTTTCAATAACTGATCGCTGATTCCTTTGACCAACAAATCGTCTACCTATAAAGAAACCAGCAACTGTAAACCATCATTGCTGTCCTTTACATACAGAGTAGCTTCTATCTTGCTCCTCCTAAAACCTTACTCAAGCAGGTAGGAATCAATCCCACTCTATCAAGCTCTTGGTGGCTGTTTCAGGCCATACAAATTACAAAGCTTTCTGAATCTTATACATTAAATCTCAACCACTTGACACATGAAAACCATCTGGTTGTTCTACATAAATTTCCTCCTATAAAACTCCATCATGCCTAGCAACAAGAACAAATGTGTCATTAAAGTCAATACCTGGCTGTTGCGTATAGACCTTGGCGAGCAATCTGGCTTGTGCTTGTAAATTGTGCCATCAGGACTAAAATTTGTTCTGCACCCATTTGACCCCAATAACATCTTATTCTTTAATTTGGTCTTGCAGTGAGTGACCAATTTTTATAATTTTTTTATCATCGCCAGCTCTTCTTTCATAGCTACATTCCATTCTTCAAATTTTGAGGCTTCATCATAATTAGCTGGTTCTGTAACTGCTAAACTGCATTTTTCATACACTTTAGCAAGAGTTTTGTCTTCAAAGGAGCCTTATCATGATCTGTCTCTGAAATTTTCTGGTTTGCTGGACTAGAAAATTCATCTGAAGTGGTTGTTGAGCCGAGGTCTAACACATTGTCCAAACGTGTTGTAACTTGTAACACCTTGTCCGAACGTATCTGTCCTCCAAAGACGAAAAGTGCCACATGCTCTCTTGAACCCTAGGCTATCTAACACCTTGTCCCAAGGGGGTGTGAGGGGTGATCCTCTACAAATAATATGCTCCATTCTTTTCACTGCCAGATCAAGTTCATCAGCAGGTAATGCCACACAATAATCATGTTCAGTACCACCCACCCCTACACAGCCATCGACAGGAACCAGGGCCTTTCCAGATGCCTCTTATGCTGCTAGCTCCTCCCCCTTTGTACCCCTAAATAGAGATTCATTAACAGAAATACCATCCAAGTTAATAACCATAGGAAAGTCCTTACCCCTGAAGTCCTTAGACACCCTACCACTGACATGTTCAATATCCTCTCGGTTCTGAGAATGGGAACAGAATCAATCAACCAGAGGTTTAAGAACTTCAATTAAGACTCGACATCTCAAGAAATCCCTCAGAACATTGCTAATAATTAGATTCTCAGTTTTGACTAAATTCCTAGATTAAAGCCTATGATAACAGCATTATTGTAAGCCAACTCACTAACAATTAAACCATGAACTTGAATCCAATATGAAGCCAGAGAGAAATCAAATTCAGCCAAAGACACACCCAAATGATCCCATCGTTGACATGGAACAGAAAATCACCCACAGACCATGGAGCAATTTCCAGTAGATAATTCAGATCAAATTCTGTGTGGGAATAGAAAACATAAAATATTTTCCTCTACCACGTTTACCTGGAGAACCTAACCGTCAACCTAAGCTTTAGCTAGCACTCCATAGATCCTGTTGATCGGAGTTTCAGCAACAGCCTTTCTAGACACAGCATAAGACCCTCGACCCTCAGATTGAGCTTCCCTTTCCATCTCGATAAGCAGTCCTTGATTTGCCATGTAAATCATAGAAACTGTGTACGGGTTTTGAGATTTGAGAGTGAAAAAGGAAAGAAAGCAGAAATTGAAATTGAAAAGTAGATTTGTTTTTTTAGGATTTAGAAGTACAATGGAATGAAGATGGCAGGAAGAAGAAATGATTTGATGGAGAGGAAGAGATGGCGAGAGAAAGGAAGAAATCATATTGAGAATGCTAGATGATCCAACAAGAACTTCCTACCTGGAGGTGTTCATACAGTGGAGGGTTTCCTCATCATTTGTGTGAGAGACGGCTAGAGACATTCAAATCCATTTCATTCTTAGCCAATATCTTGCTAGCTCAGGCTAAATTTCTTTACTTTCTGCTCTTCCCAATCCCAAACTGCATCGTACACAGCTTCTGCCCAGAAATTTTTTGTTAATTTCTTCTCATAAAGCATCCTTCTGGTCATCTCCATTATGGTCCTGTTTTTCTTTTGTGACACTCCATTCTGCATGGTGTAACTCACTTTATTAGTGACTGATTCCATGGTCTTCACAGAACTGACCCTATTCCATTATCAGAGCCTGGAGTCTTTAAATTTTTTAAATACAGGCAGCACTTGAGACTTGCGGCTGAGAAAATTGACCCAAGTCATCCCTGTAAATGCCAGCAATAAACAAAAGAAAATATTTGTTCTAACTCAACTAAGGAGTTTTCATTGGTCCACATAATTCAGTATGAACCAATTCAAGTTGGCTTTTGTAGTTTTGTTCTCTGAGCCTATGCAACTGGAAAAGGTTGTCTCTATATTTTCCAAATAGACAGCATTCACAAATATCATCACAGAATAAACTTTCAGCAATATCCCTTGCTAACCCATTTGATTGCAAAAACTTGATCTAAGATTTTACTGTCCAAACCTCTTATGAATACAAAAGAACATTAACTGTAATTCTTTAAGAAAAAAAAAAAAAAAACCTCAACCATACATTAGCTGCAATACAACCTGTGAAGGTTCATTTATCCAAAAAAAAAAAAAAAGGGAAGATAAAGACAACAAAACTACTATGAAGGTTTACACAGATTAAAATTACAAATATTATATAAGGACATAACAATATGTAAAGGAAATCAAGATATGACATTGACGGCCTGTGCTTCCTGAGCAACCTTGATGAAGACATCCTCAAGAGTGGTGTCAGCCAAACCCCATGCAAGAACAGTGAACCTGCTCTTTGCTTTCTCCACTGCTTGGAATACTTCTGCAATGCTCACCTCTTGTTTTGGCAGCTCAAACTTCTGTGTCCCCGATATATGGTATATCTTATTAGAATTGGGGGAGAGGTGGTGTATCATATGTTCAGCTTCCTCCTCATGGTTTGAAGAAGTTGTAATGGTAAATGTGTAAGATCCTCCATATCTAGCCTTCAGCTGTCATTTGCAGTAGCAATATCAAATTTAAATGCCAAAAATTTATCTGAACATATTAAGTAGATTTTTTAGAACGTTGTAAAACCGAATTATGTAAAGGAGAGTTACCTCTTTCGCATTCCCTATACACTGCAAACTGCCATCCACAAAAATGCCTAACCGATCACAGAGAACCTCTGCTTCTTCCATTGAATGTGCTGAAAAATCCAAACAGTCTTACTCATTTCACAAGAGGGCAAAAGTTCCTTAACATGCTGTTAACGTTACATACAGCATTAAACTCTATCAGCCAAAAATTTTCTTGTCAAGGTTCAAGGGACAATAAAGAGGTTCTTTCCAAATAAATTTAGTAACCTATAGTAATGCAAGTTATGCAGAGAGGGGGAGGGGAGAGAACATACTGGTGAGAATAATTGCGCGGTCATTCTTTGCACATTTCACAACTTTCCATAAACTGTTTCTTGATGCTGGATCTAATCCAGTACTTGGCTCATCCATATAAACAACCTTGCAAAATAACATGGGGTCATGCCATGAACAATTTTGAAGCATATATGATCATAAGATGTTAACACAGCCAATACATACTTTGGGATCCCCAATCAGGGAAATGGCAACACTGAGCCTCCTCTTCATTCCTCCACTGTATTTCCCTGCCTGTTTGTCAGCAACCCCTCCATGAAATAGGTTGACACTCTTGAGAGATTCTTCTACTGCCTAAAGCAACAACAGTGGAAATGAGCTTTTAAAGAAAATTCTTAAAATCAGTTTTTGGTAATGCAATACATTGAACGTTTCAAGTAATGAACACTGGTGTGATTGACTTGCAGTTTTCTTCATCATGAATTCTAAATGACTTGCGGTTATGGTGATGTTCTTATAATCAACTTTTTCTTTTTCCTTCCTACAAAAATATTCTCAGTGAACCTATAATATAGAATTAAGATGAGATGTAGGAGAATCATTTTCTTCAAAATAACTTACATTACAATCTCAAAGCAAAGAAACTGTCAACTTACTTGAGTTAAAGCAGAACCTTTGAGGTTCTTAAGTCTACCATAAAATAGCATGTGCTCCCTTCCAGTTAAGCTTTCCCACAGAAGGCTACAAATGGCCAATAAAGAAAAAAGGGAAAAGGAAAGAATAAGAAACATTTCTAAGGGAGAAAAAGATGTTTCTTTTTGCTTTTTTGCCTAAATGAAGTGAATTATAGCCTACTTATGCTGTGGACAGACACCCATGCTGGTATAAATGGCACCCATTTGAGTCCTTATGTCCAAACCCTGAACTAATCCAGTGCCAGATGTTGGCTTTGTGAGTCCGATCATCTGTCAACAAAAGAATACTTAATTATTGCAAAAGTAACTAGCCAAATATTCATTTGAATGATGAGAGACAGAACGCCCAACAGTATAGTTCTATGACAGATAAGGGGTATGAGGGGCAAAAGCTTGTGTTCTAATGAAAGAATGTTTTAAAGCATTTTCTATTTATTTCACAGAAAGCATTAAACTGACCATGTTAATGAAAGAGGTCTTGCCAGCACCATTTGGTCCCAGCATGCCAAAGCACTCCCCACGAGGCAATGCAAGAGATAGCCCTCTTACTGCAAATTTCTCAGGATTTCCATCCTTTCCTGGATAAACCATTTTGAGATTATCGCAGATAATGGCATGACTTGTGCTTGGTTCAACTAGTAACTGCTCAACCTTCTCCCTCTGTCAAAAATAATGAATACTAGATAATATAGACTACTTAACAAACTTCTAAAAGTAAATGACAGCTGAAAATAGACTGGAAACAGGAAAGTGTTACCTCCTGACAAACATCGGGTTTCTCCATCTCAACAAGAACATTAGACTCCTGCCTTCCCAAACTAGGCTTTCTGAAAGCTGACAGAGGTTTCTTTCGGAAGTTTTGTAAGAAAAGTAAAGGACTTTTTGCACCGCCCGGAGATGCAACTTGATCTACATAATATGCAATGGGAAGCACCACAATCCACTCAACAAGAATGATGATCCAGACCTCTCTCATCCCATTCATGCTGTCACTCAAATCTCCCCACCTCATTCCATTAGTTTCCATATAATTTCCCATTAAAGAATACTGTGATAATTCATATAATCCACGATATAGAGCAAAGCCGGGATATAACTCAAGTACAGTAATCCAGCCTCCTACAACCCCCAAAAAAAAAAAATATATATGTTAGGAGGCTTTTAGTTCTTGTTTGTTCAAACAATCTTGGAGTATATCTTCAAACAGTTATGAAGGAAAGTGATTTCGTTTTTCAGTTTCTTCAACTTACTTGGGAATGACTTTTCTTCAAGCAATGTCTGGAAGAGAAAGCTACCTAATAGAGCTGTCCCAAAGACGCACATGTATGCAGTCACTATAATCATCAGAAAGCAACAGTTAAGAGAAACAAGTCAATCTAGTCTCTAAAATAAATAACAATTTGCCTGGTAGCATAAGTAAATCAAAACCTGAAGCAGTCTTCACATTTGTGAACACTGAAGCTATTAGGAAGGCCAGCGAGATTTGCAGATTTATGTAGAAAAGGTAAAACACAAACTGGATACTGTAGTCATTAAGTGTGAAGAATTTCAACCCTGGAATGAAGTAAAACTAAAGTAATAAGCATCTTGAAAGATGATGATGATGATGATGATGAATAAAAAAGTTGATTAATACCTATAACTGAGCCAAAGATCACAAAGCATAACATGTGCAGCAAAGATATGGCAAGAAAATAAGCATAGGATATCATCCAATAAGGTCCATCACGAAGCCCATGCATTTTCATCATGACTCTGAGCTTCTGCTGTTTCTCATAAACCAATGCTTCCAATATCACCTACATAAGAAAGCAAACGGTAATACATGATTGTTCCATCACCAATAATTGATTTTAACTAGAGTTAGGATCAAGTTAATGTAAATTTTACACAGTTTTCAGCCACTCATTTCAAATTTCATCAATTAATGCAACACTTAAATTTCCAAAACAACCCCTTTAATTTTAAAATGTGTGACTGAAAATTGGTGTAAGATTTTCGTAGACTTACACCAGTGTAAGTTGATCCCCACTCTTTTAATTCTAATGATGACTGCCTATTATTATAGCCTCCATGATATAACAAAAATTTCTTAGCAGGCATGTCCGAAATAATTATGAGCACTACCACAAAGCCAAATATAAATGAATGAGTGCCTGCATACTTACAGGGAATGGTTGTAAAATAACCCAGCTAAAGAAGAGTGGTCCAAGAAGGGATGACCAATCCAGTGTGAATTTAGTTCCAGGTTTTGGCATTTCTTTGACAAACTCAAAGAGCATTTTTGTACCAGCACCTCTCAAAAACTGAAGGTAGGCATTGGAAACCTGTAAAAATGTAAATCCAATATCAGTACTTGTCAAGCTTATGATCATCTCAGCAAATTGGTAGATTCAAATCAAGAAAAAAAAGTCTTTCTAGTTAATCTTTCCTGTCACGCAAAGTTCATCTTTCATTTTTCTGATAGGTAAGTATATATGAATCACCTTCTTATTTAAACTGCAAATGTAGAATTTTTGAAGTTCGATGCTTTACAATAGCAAAGAAAAATTATGAGGAAGGTCCAACTTACAAATCCAAAGTACCTACCAAATTTACTGATCGTGGAACTCGCATCAATGCCATCTGAATAATACCAGGAGTATAATTTTTATAGGTAGAATTGTACCAGATGGTGACATTAAAATTATTCCCATCTGAGTTTAAGAAATCATAGGCTGTGGAAAGTATTAAAATTATCAGCATTGAGCCCCAAAATACAATATTTTATTTATCAGATCACAGAATTAAGTTAAAAAGTGTTAACTAGACCAACCTGCAATGATCTCATTTATCTCCCGCTGTGGATTCCCTTCCCTGTAACCTTTATACAGCTCATCATTCACCTCAGAAGAACTATTTCGCCACAAATTTATACCCTGAACACATTGCACCTCTACATTCAAGATGAAAAAATGATAGGACTTAAAAAGTGCCTCAAATTTAATTTCAAAGGAACAAGAAACCAAAAGAGAGTGATGCATGCAGAAGCAAAGCAAAAGAGTTTGAACTGTGTGACGCTGTCATAAATGCAGAACTATCGCCCCAAAATTAGACAAATGTGAAATTTAAGCCTTGTCACATGGACCTTCTAGTCTAATACATGAAACTTAAAAAGAACTCTAACAAAGGAATAATTCAAATTGACTTGCTGACTATAAAAATGGAGTTTGGAAGATCAGGCTAGAAGAAATTCAACCAAAAACATTAGTTAAACAAAGGTCAAGCACGTCAGACAGAAGCATTTTGGTGCATTTGCACCCGTCCATGCACATGAAGATACCAACAATACCTTTAAAAAAGTAAGGATTCCTCTGGCAAAATAATATAAGGTTTAAGAACTTATACCTTGATCCTTTTCAAATGATGATTGATTAACAACAACCGAAAATGTAGAGTTCAACATGCACTGACTTTGAAGGTTATAGATGGGAAGATTGGAAAGGAAAGCAGGTTCAATATAATTGTTTGATTCAGGATATGTTGCTGTACCCTGAAACATTTTGAGAAGCAAGATTAGAAGCAAAACTGATAGTTAGGTGGGACCCCATGTTGAAACTTTAAGAAGTAACATGTGTGCTTAAATTTACTGTTAACAGAAAATAATAGAGAGATGAAAATGGGGACAAAAAGCATTAAAATGAAATAACTTACCAAGACATTGCTGGCTAAACTGCTGATAAGATCTGAGGAATTGATGGTGAAGCTAGTGAACATATTCACCGTTAAAACTATAAAACAAGATGAATAATATTAACTATGGTTTCATCTTCCTATTTGGACGGCCACCAAATTTAAAACAAAAATGAACATGGAAACATAGAGCGAACTAAGCATACTGTTTCCAAGTGATCGATTATTCCCAGTGAACAATGAAGTTGCTGGACAAGATCCTGTTGTCCTGCATGACTCATTAGGCAAGTCTCTTGACGCAAATGAATTAGCACTCACTGCACGATACTCAGGAGCCGGTATCTGTAACAGTGGGGGCCATTCAGGTGGACTAGGAATTGGACAACTTGCGACTTGATCTAGCGAAGAGTACTCAATCCCACAGACTTTCTCACACTGACCATCTCCATTTGTATCAATACAAGTACAACCACACTGGAATTTTGGTTTATCTAGCTCAATGTCAACCACTGTTTGCGTGACAACAATTATTGCACAGAATATAATGGGGAAGCAAATGAGCTGAATGTTTGCCTTCATGTTCCTTTTCTGTAGAAAGAAAAGATAATTATAAGCTTAAAACTTCTTCGTCATCTTCATTTTTCCTTTGTTGTTTCACCAAAATTAATCCCATAAAAATAATTTTTGATTTTTAAGTGTTTACGTCAAAATAATAGGAAACAAATTACACAGATTGTAGGGTATATAAGAATAAGAATCCCACGGCAAAAATTTTACTCAAACATGAATCATGAAGATTCATAATTAATTAACAAAAACCATAACAATATGTCAAAATCTTCCTTTAAGAGGCAAATCAATATTGAAATGAAAATAGGGGCACAAAAAAAATGGAAGAACAAAATCCAGAGAGGACACGATCAGATTAATGAACTAAAAATCAAACTATCACTGTTAATGTTACAGAATTCTAGTAGTCTCTTTGCTCAGACATCACTGACAAATATTGACCAAAATGTTGATGGTCAACTTCAATAAACAAATTAGAAAATAAAAATCAATGCTTATGCAACAAGATAAACCCATCTTCAAAAAAAAGAGGTAAAAACATTAGAGAATAATGTTTTGTAGTCCTGCACTGAACTGCAGCATCATGACCCTTGGAGGGGCGGACTCACACCAAATCTTACTCATCCAAGCACCTAGATTTTGCAGTCTGTTGTAGTCCAAATTACAAAAGCTATTTCTATAAACATTATATTAGACTCTTAATTATAAGGAAACAAAAGTAGTAGAGGTTGCTTGTGTTGGAAATTTTCATGTGAGCTATCGCTAATTGTATTTGATTTTCAAAAATTGAGTCAAATGAAAAAACCGGTAAAACCCAATAAAGTAACGTAATCCAAATGTGCCAATGTTTTATTTCAATTTTATATGATGTGATATGAATAGATATAGGGCATGAAAGTAAAGGTAGACTACTTTTAATGGGGAGACCAAAAAAATAATAAAAAGAAGTACGACCCCTTTTGCAATAAAAAAAAAACCCCAACCCCAAAAAAAAGAAAAGTAAGGAAGGGAAAGAACCCACCAGTAGCAACAAAAAAAAAGTAAATAAAGAAAAGAAAAACCAAAATTCAAAAACAAAAAAAAATTGGGTTTGGAAGGTTTGGTAAGAAAACCCTAAATAAGAAAAATCCTGAAAAACCTTGAAAAATTCTAAGGAAAAAAATGAATAAGGAAAATCAAAAAAACCAAATTATTTATTTATTAATTTTGTGTATTACATATATTACTAATTTGAAGGATTTGAAGTTTTAGAATCTAATATGTGAGATTGATTATTTAAGAAAATTTCAACATGTGTTATAAGAGCCACACAAATTAGATCTAAGACCCATGAAATCAATTAAATATTTGATTTGGTCTAATTAATTTTCCGCTGGATATCCAATCCGTAATATATGATGGATTGTTTGCTTTGTAATTCCGCTGAAGTTATTTTGTTGCCATCGTTTTGTTTTTCCATGATTAGAATTGCGTTACCCTGATGTGGCAGCAGGTAGTCTCATCTTGAAATCATATTATGATACTAATATGGCCAATGATTGCTCTTTTGAAAGAATCGAACTCTAAATATTATTATAAGGTTCATAATTTCTTGTTTGCATGAATTCACAATTTTTGTTCTAAAGAGATCTAGAACGTAATCTTTAATGAGAATAACTTTAAATAATATTATGTGTAAATTTGGTCCTTTTTTTTTTTTTTTTTTTTTTGCTTCAAGTCGCTTAAAAAAAATTTTGGGTTTTGGAATCCCAATTTGAATAAGAGCAAAAGAGTAGATCGGGGGCGGAATCCCAATTTGTCAAGATCTCTAACTAAATAAATAAATAAAGGGAAAGGTAAAATGCAGAAGGTAAGGACCATGAGAAACTATTGTGGCAGGGAGAGTAAATGTACAAATAAGGATTTCAATTTTACACTTTTTTTTATTTAAAGATATTAATTTTGTCAGTTTTTAAACAAAAATGTCAATTTTCAATTTTTTCTAAATAAAGATGTTAACTTTATTAGTTTCTAAATAAGGATGTCAACTTTCAACTTTATCTATTTAAGGATTAATTGAACAGTGATACTTACGTGGCTAACATATTTTTTAGGTTAAATACCTGAATTGGTCCCTCAACTTTTATTTTTGAACCAATTCATCCTT